GGGGGGGGGCAGTGTTTTTCCCCATAGTTCTAAGGGTATGAGAGGACACAAACTAGCATCCTCCTGCCACCCTAAGCTCAGTATATAGCAAGCTACAGCTCCCTGTATACTGAGACGCCGCAGCCGGAACGGATCTCTACAATTGTCTGGATCCACCCAGCTGCGTGAGCGACAGCTGGCTCTGCCCATCTAGAGGCAGCGCCAGCTGTACCCTCCCCCTCCCCCATCCGTTCCGCCAGTCAGCGCTGGAGGATCAGACAGGGGAGGGGCAATCAGTCCTTCCCCTGTCACGGCTCTCTGGCAGCAAAGGATTGAGAAGTGAGCGCGCGCCGCTATGTGTTCACTCACTTCACGATCTACTGAGCCGACCTGTGACAGTTTCATTGTCACAGGTCGGCTCAGATGAGGCAGAGTGATTTCACACCTCATAATTCTCCTTTAAAATATTCAAGTGAAAATATTTGCCTGGAGTTCAGCTGTAACATTAGCCATTGGCATTTCTAGCTTTGTATACTCAATTTTGTGGTGGGGCAGGAACTTGAGAACTATGGGGTAAGTTTTTCCTGATAGTTCCCTTTAGGGTCACGGGAGGACATATACTAGCATCCTGCCATAACCCAAAGCTTAATATATAGCTGGCTACAACTTGCGGTATACTGAGATGCACCCAGCTGTGTGAATGATAGCTGGCTCCGCCTCTTGAGGTAGAGCCAGCTGTACCCCGCCCCCTCCCCAGTCAGGACTAGAGGATCAGAGGGGGAGAATCCCTGCAGGGAGTCGTGACAGACACCGTGTTCGTTCGCTTTCTGATCTATTGAGCCGACGTGTGACTGTTTAATTGTCACACGTTGGCTCGAACTATGAGGCTGAGTGATTTTCACTCGCCTCATAGTTCTCCTATAAGTGTTCAATGACTGAGAAGCTTATTCTGCATTTTAAATACAGAATCCAGCAGTCAAGGACTATGAAATTCACCACTAAACCCATCATTGTATACAACAGTGGCATGCTCAAATCACATGGCAGTTTTTTTCATTTATAGCTTTCAGCTGTACATTGTGCCTTCCATCCAGGCATCTTTGGCAAGTTACTTACCCGTCTACAACAACGTTCCATTGAGGGGAGGATGTAGGGTCTGGAGACATTGTTGCCCAGCAGTCATTCAGTACCAGCTCAATGTTTGCATCAGTACGATTCAGAACTTGCACTTCCAGGTAGATGGGATCACGGAGGGTCTTCACAACTGGATATTGGTTATCCTGGTACAGTAGCTTATAGGAGTCATCTTAAGAGGAAAATAATTAATATCCAGTGCCACAAAAGGTAAAATTAAGGGCCTCAATGAACCTACATACCTTCGTAGAGATTTAGCACGAAGGAAATTGGACCATCATGTCTTACAGAGACCGGAGGAGGAGATGGAGTTTGCACATTCACGTTAAACAAAAGTCCATCAGAGACATTGTACCGACAACGAACAGTCTCTCTGCAAAAAGGACGAAGTTGCTGTTCAGGAGCTTGTTTTCTAGCATGTTCCCCCTAAATATAAGTGAACTTCTGACCATTCAGAGACCATCATAAAGTGTTTAAATCCTATACCAGACCATGCCAAGATAACCATTCTGAAAG